CGTATCTCCAACCCACACAGGGGGGAGGTGGTTTTTCACCCCACACATGAGTACGGCATAAATCCAAACCCCATGGTATGTAGATACTTGCTTTAAAACTCAATTTTACGTACATATACAGACAATAGGGAGGGTATACGTTCGATACTTGTATGTACAAATAAATGTGCTATGTGATGAGTAAAGGTGCCACTTACACATATATGGACCCTGGGATGGGTAAATTTGCAACTTTTTCTGTTTAGAAGGGCACATCATACAATATCCTTTATTTAGTGTCGAATCATGGTTAAACCGTAATAAAAGAACCGTGTGTCGTATTTCTGTGCTGAATAAATTACAAAACCTAACGAAGAAGCAACAGGGCCGACTGAAATCGTAAACCATGCTTAATCTGATTGTTATCAGACGAAAACTGTCATGTTTAACTGAAAATGTCCTGTGCGATACAATATTTGGGACATCCTACTTACTGGTACTGGGTTCATGGCCACCTTGAAACGCAGGTAGCCATTTTCTTTTTAGTAGGCTATACTTTAAAGAGCATCAAGACCCAATTAAAAATAGCGCAGTGGATGAAAAACGTCCCAAAAGAAATTCCTGATTGATATTTATTAGTGTTTGAGAGAAGAAGCAAATATCGTAAAAGTTAGGATACAGAAATTCTGTTTTTTTACCGACTGTCCCGCGAAATCCAAGAAACGTTTAGACTTTAAACAAATGTTTAGCAAACTTCGATAAACTCATATGCGCTTTACCAACTATACCATACACATCCAGAACGTCACAATTTTATTCAACTGTCCAACACACCCAGAAACGTTCGGATTCCACCCAAATGTCTGACGCACACCTAGAAACGTTCGGATTCCACCCAAATGTCTGACGCACACCTAGAAACGTTCGGAAATACCGAGCAACGTTCAGACTTCCATCAACTGTCCCAAACTAAAACACACCACAGATCCGACAAACACCCTGAAATTACCGTCTCCACATTTCAGGACAAGCTTTACGGATTTGTACTTATGTATAATACATTTGTCGATCGGAATATGTAGGACGTTATGAAAGTCTATACCCATTGGTTGTTCTCTATGCTGACGATAATACATGTGTTTACGTCTCGATAGGAAAAGATAAATAAAACTTTCCGTACTCCATGTACAATTCCTCTGCTTTTATCAGTTCAGATCTTAAAACGCATATTTTATCCAAATTACATTCCTTTATGTTTAACGGTGTCAATGTTATATACAGGCTCGTGTCATATCAAATTATTGAACTATGCAAAGTAATTCATATGATTTTTATAGTACCATATATTTGTCTGTCGTAGGACGTACGATATCTACCCTGCACACGTCCGTACCTGCAGGTAGGGCGTAAGAATTGTACCTGCTGCCCCCATTGCATGATTGTAAGAGGCGACTAAATTTGGGACCTTATCTTTTCTGCTCTTTCTTAACAACTTTTTTCTTCCTTATTGAACTATAATTTATATACATGTATAAATAGGTCAAAACCAAAGTACTCCGATCATATTATTGTCGTTCCGCGCAATGCAAAGTAGTTTATGTTTTTTTCAGTACCATATATCTGTCTCTACCCTGCACACGCCATATATCTGCCATCACTTGTTTGTGTCCTATTCATTTACACACCCTCGGCCGATAGCACAAACGAGACATGTGATAATCTCTTAAAATATACATTGTATATATCGATACACAAAAAATATTCTCGTGTCAATCTGGAATGCTCCGCTCTCAATAACATCTTAAATAAATTAAGTTTTATTTACTGATGTACCACAAACCAGAACTAAAGAACTCTTTTGTGTAAATCTATCCTCGTTATCCAGGGGTTACGCTCACTTTTGCTCTCTGCACACCTGGAATATTTCATAGCAAAATTGAAAGAACGAAGATAGCTGTTTGATTGGTCTCGGGTAAAAAAAAGAAGACCAATCGCTGGGTTGATACCTGTCCTTTGAAGATTACAAAGGAGCGACACCCGACTTTAAAGCCATATCCCAGGGTTGTAGAGAGCGAAAGTGAGCGTAACCCCTGGATAGCGAGGATGGTATAAATCTGTAAACACACTTTGGCTAAAAGTGAATATCATCGTTATATACCTCACATATGTATTTCAGGTATATTTCGAATTCAAAGAAAAGCATGTCATCGCTGAAAACGAATCATTACTTTTACTTCTGTCTGTCTGTATAATATAAGTATTATTGCTGATGTTGTACAACCTATATTTATTATTAAACTTAAGCAATACGTGGTACATAAGTGGTAAATCACTGAAAAGTAAATATTACTTATACTTCTGTTTGTGTGTGTGTGTGTGTGTGTGTGTGTGTGTCTGTCTGTCTCTGTGAGTGTGTGTGTGTGTGTGTGTGTGTGTCTGTCTGTCTGTCTGTGTGTGTGTTATACAGACATATATATGTTACTTTCTGTGTTCTGTACACATGTCATGAGATATCACTCTCCAAATATGTATGTAATATTATGTATTATATTTATGTATACCTATAGGCCGTAAGGCCCCCGGAATTTTGAATTGAATTGGTAATGAATCGAACAGGTACACATATAAAAAAGTCACATATGAAGTTAAGTGCAAACAGTGTCGGGTATTTTTACATGTTTCAATTTAATTTCTTTTCGTTTTATCGTTTAACGATGCAATTCAAGTTTGCACAAAATCTTACACACAGAACGGACCCGCATAAGTAGCAGTAAATTATCCATGAGAGGGGTAGCGAATTACGACATAGCGGAATATGCATTATATGCACTGAAAATGCCACTTCGTGGAATATACGACGGTGGGCGAAAGTTTGAATTGATCCAAGATGACCGTAACCAAGCCCGGCTGATGGCAATACCACAGGGACTTGAGAATTTGTTCAAGTTTTGCTATGTTTGGACCTTAACTGATGTGTTCATGGTGATATTAGATGTTTCTGAGGTTTACATCTATTTTCGGTTAAAAAAAAAAAGAAAAGCCCAACCCAATGACGAGCATAGCTTAACTGTACCAAATTCCCGGCTCCCTGTGGCCAAAAAACAACACAAGCGTTTTTTATTCTGATAATTACATATGTTTGTCGTTGTAATGTATTCCACACTAGAAGCCATATTTACATGAAATAAGTATATCACAGTTTGAATATATTGTTTTATTTTGATGTATATATATTCAAAACTGAGATATCTAAAAAATCAAAACCTGTGATATCAAAAAAATCAGAACCTGTGATATTTAATTGCTTTTTACCATCAGTAAAGTCTGGGTGACCGAGTGGTGCACTTGCCTTTTACCAAAGCGGTCTGGGTTCGATTTCCCGATCGGACATGACAGTTTTCCAGGTACCACGTCCGTTTCGCCCCCCTCCCCTATTAAGAACCCCATGGGCGCTTCCATCAAGGTCAACAGGAGAAATTAATAAAAGTTTCATAATTGTTGTAAAAAAAATATGTATACTTTAGCCTGGGGTACGGATTGTTTGGATGAATCTAAATATCAGTCTACCACCGAAGATTCTATACAGTAAGGATAAGGCCTTATCACAGGGACCTGGGAATTTGTTACTTCGGTGTTTAAACTAATTTTGCGCGTTTTAGGAGTTTAGATCAATTTCCGGTAAAAATGCCATACCCAATCTCGTATATATGATCATTGGGTGTGGCATTTTTATTAAAATATTATATATACATTTGCATGGCATTATCACTATATAGCTTCTTTGAAAGCTGTGTCGTTGATGGGACTTTAATTACCATGCAGCACGAGACACAGTTCTTAGCGTATTAATACAACACTGACCGGAACTACAATATCCAATGTAAATAAACATGACGGCTGCTGAAATATCGCTTGGCATATATTTAACAATAACATTGCTTTACAATCAATCAAACTTAATATGAAAAAGAAAATTAAGAGTAAAACAGCATTATGTTGTTTGCTTGCAAAGCTGTGTCATTCAAATAGATCATAAATATCATTCAAGAACAGTTCAATGCTTAAATCTAAACCACCAAAACGTGTAAAATTACGCTTATCGCCTTAGTTTAGGTCCAAATGTAGCTGTTACAAGATAGCAGGTCCCTGTGGTCCGTCGGAATGCGGGGCACGGCACGTCTCGGAATATGTTGTGGACGAGCAGACACAAACAGCTTGTCTACAGACGCGCGTTTTTTGTGTGACATATTTCTTTTTTAATGTAAAACAAGGTGAAAACGTAACAGGTTTAACAAGACGACTGTGTATACATCATATAGGTACGACACCGACCCGTACGTACACATAAAGTATGTATATACCACCAGTATCATACATGTTGGTGTTTAACTTTTATGTAGGTGAACTCTTTAATAAATTATGAAATGAAACCCTATGCATAAAGTACAACTTATCATAAAAAATTTTCGTTTTTCCTATTACGAATAAACGTGATATATCTTGATTGAAATGGCGTCGTTAAAATGTTAAATATGGCTCAAAAGACAAAGAAATATGTTTGGTAAAAAAACTGACAATTGTTATTTGTCTTCAAATGTTTCTATCACATAAGAAGTTATTCAAAGACGAAAACAAAAATGGCCTCATCTCTGGCCGGTGTCCAGGACTCAACGTTCGGGACGCATTGTTGGATTTTCAGCGTCTTAGAACATTTTTGACGGTCCTCAAAAGATGGACCTTAGAATGATCGTAGATTTCTTTATTTCAAAGAGTCCAAATTGTGTCTTCTAAATTTATTTGCGATGAACCCAACGCCAGAATAGTCCGAGTAAATAACACAACTATTCATTCTGACGCTTCAAAAACGCTAATAGGTCCAACCATTGTGTACGCAAACGTACACGTATTTTTAAGTTTTTATAATAACTTATATGTATTCATTATATCATTTATGTAGGTTTTATGAGTTTAAGTAACAGTAACAAAGTAAGACAGTAATTAAGTAAAAGTATTTAACTTACCTGGCTCGTCATAGTGGTATTGTAGGTATATTCTACAACAGATCCTCCCTCTGGTCTGTCGTGGTTAATCCAACAGTTACTGATAAGTAAGTAGACAGTCTGGGTCAGAAATAGATCTACCTCAGGGACATGCGCCAATGATCTTCACTTACCATGACCTTACCTACCGGCTAAATCAGGTCGCCACCCTGATTTACACAATTATGCCCCGAGTCTGTTCTAAGGGTTGAAAACTGGTATCGTGTATCTCCCTTGCTATTTTGATGGTGAAATCCAGGATTAGCAGATATAAAGACAGCATTTCAAAAACTGGAATTCATGTTTATTTGTGTAAGCCTCTTTAATATACCCCGAAGTCGGGTTTGCTATTCTGTGTATATGTCTACCATCAGGCAGATGATTTTCTTGTAGAACTTAATTTTCCTTGATTATATTTATAATAATTTAGTTTTAACATTTTTTATTCCATAATGAAACACACTCATTACATACATTTATTACATACTAACTAATAAATACGGGTTTTTTGTATATGCGATACAACACAATTGCTCTTACCCATATCAGCCCTCGCCGTATCACACCCCAAAAGCCGTATCAGGCCCCGCCGTATCACACCCCAAAACCCATATCAGCCTGCAAAACCCATATCACACCCAATTTGGAAAAAAATCGTTTTTCAATATTTCATAAATTAAAATAAATCATAATGTAGTAGTTTTTATTAGTAAGTATGTAATAAACAGAATAAAACACGCCTTTTTCCATATCACACCCAGAATCAACCCTCGACCAATATCAGCCCGCGGGCCTTCGGCCCTTGGGCTGATATTGCAGTCTCGGGCTGATACTGGGTGTGATATGGAAAAAGGCATGTATTATTCTCTATGTATATCAGATTTCAGAAAGGATATGAATTGAGAGGGGAGATAACTCTAATCGATGATAATGAATTAGACTCTTTGATCAGTGGAGATGGTTTAGAGAGGGAATATAACTCCGATTGACATAATTAATGGATTAGAAAGGAGATTGTAAATCTTTGAACAGATATTACGTGGTGGCCGGTTTTGCCTTGGATATTTCTCTGGCACACCCTGAAGGTAGGGAAAGATTGTATTAATCTTACAACCCATTTCACTTGACGTGACGTCACAATGGCTCAACAATGACGTGCCGATTTTTTGTTTGTTTGCAAATATGGGATATGCTTGACCTGCCTGGCTGATTTGTTTTCGTCTAAAAAGCTCAGAAGGGGGGGGGGGGGGGGGGGTTATTTTCAAAATGGTCGCCAGTCCGAACGCATTTTCATGGTTTCTGGTGGTTGTGACAGTGAAATCTCAAACCTAAGGGGTGATGTTTTTTGGTTGTTTTACCCGAGGCTCTGCCGAGGGTTAGACAACCAAAAATATCACCCCGAGGGATTTTCTCTCATCCTATATTTTCAGTCACAACTCTACCGACAGTAGTCTGTTTGAAAACAGAAACACAGGTAGGGTATACATATCGTCATTCACTTTTTATGACGTCACAATTACCGGTGACAAGAGGAATTCCCCTGTCAAAAGGACAATAGCAGATCACAGAAGATAATTTCGATTTGCTGAAAATTATAAAATCAACGTTGTCGTTTCTAGAAATTACCGCTTGTATTCGATTTGCAAAAAAATAAAAATATTTCTTTACTTGCAGAGAACATGTAAGCAAGACAAATCTCAATCCTCAGGGTAAGATCCGAGGACTAGATTATCCAAGGTGGTGGATATATAGGTTTGACCCTAGAGTAAAGACGGAGGGATTCCCCTAATAGCAAATTGCATGACGTCACGTCAACAATGCAACGACGTCACGTCGACAATAGCAGAACACAAATGATAACTCAGATCTGCTGAAAATTATAAAATGAACGTTTGCATTAAATATAATTACTTCTTGTATGTGACGTTAGAGTAAAACAATGAGTCCCCGTTTTGGGTGTAAGACATAAAAAAATCAACCCTTGGGGTAAGATTCTATTCTCAAATGCCTGGCCCTTGGCTAGTCTCACCCTAGGGTTGGGACAAGGGAAGTCCCAGTCAAAATCATTGTGCGACGTCACGTCAACAATACAATGACGTCAAGTCAACAATGCGTTGAGCAAGTAGTGTCAATATTGCATTATGTATATGACAGGGTCAAAGGGGCACGAGAAAAAGAATCATTTTGAGGTGAGACGGGGAACCTCAACCATCGTGAAAAGGTTCTTCAATTGTCAAACACTAGACATGATACACATCTAGCTGATAAAGGCTATGAGTGTCTCTTAATCACAATGACATTGTTAGGTGTAAAGCCGGTTAAGACAAAATCAGTAACTACATTTGGTTTGGTTTTATATTGTTTAACGTCCTATTAACAGCTAAGGGCATATAGGCACGTGCCTCCATGTGTGTTGAATAAGCGTGCATGTGTGTATATGAGCTGCAGACAGGGAATGTTGGTGTACTTGACCCCTTGTGATAGCAATATCCTTGCTATCTCACTGAAACACTGTGCCGAAGGTACCCAGAACAACACTCCGCCCGGTCACATTATACTGAAAACGGGAGAACCAGTTATTGCCATTACCCTTCTTGCTGAACGTTAAGCAGGGAATAACGACTACTTTTTTTAAGGACTTTGGTATGTTCCGGCCTGGGGACAGACTGCATTGCCTTCCTCTATGGTGGGTCTGGTATCAAATTTAAATGTTTTTTGTATTCATCCTAAAGTTAGTCCGTGGTCTAGAGTAAAAATAATAATGCGACAGCCTACCGGTAAAATAGGGCGACTTTAAAGTCGGATGTCGCTCCATTGTGATTTTCAAAGGACAGGTACATATGTATCAGTCTTGCAATTGGTATTTGTTATACCTGAAACCAATCAGAGCGGTACATTTGTGTTTTTAGTTTTGTTCTGACATATTACATCATAGACCGAAGCCCCTGAAATTGTGTTAAGGCCGTTGAACAAAATGAGTCACTGATTTGAGATCTAGGTCGCCAATTGTCTATGCTATAAGCGTGGTTGAAGTCGTACCTATACTAACTATTGTACGTGAACGTTAAGCCGGTTATTCATAAACAGATAGTGTTACATCGGGGACACTCTCTAAGTGTATAATGTGTATGAGGTCGATCTAGTGGGCTTTTAATGTTTTTACAATAAGAACATACACTTGATACGAGTATAGCAATGCTTGAAACCAAAATATGCATTAGAATTATAATTTAAAAGAATAATAAACGGCAGAGTATTCATTTATGAAACTACAAGTCAGAAATAGCTGTGTGCCAATCAATTAAGCTGTACAAAAGAGCTCACTGTTCGAAGGGAAGTAACTCCAGCTAGTTTTATATCGTGTCGGCTAAGATTACAAAGCAATGTATGTTGAAATAATTGTCGCTTTGCTTTTATGTAAAACAAGGATGTGAACATGTGAAGCGTTCTGAGCTAAACCAAATTCGTATTTGGTAGAAATTCTATTGTAACTCAATCACACAAACACCAGCCGGGTATGCAGTCCAGACAGATGACTCAATGAATTACCAAACGATCTTAAATGCCCATGCCGAAAAAATGCTCCATGTGAATTTTTTTCTCGAGTTTTCCAACTTTTACCCGACCTACTATACACACATGTATACATGCAATCTGGGTATTTGGAACCCAATCAACGCCTCTCCCCTTCATCCAACGATCTATCTAATTTGTCGCAGATATTCTAGCAAAAGAAGCTAAACAGGGTAAAATTTGGTATCAAATATTTGATTGTCATATCTTCTGATGGAATATTATCTTTTTAAAACAAATCGCAACGGTTCAGTGATATTTTGGACGATAACCACAGTTAGGGTTTATGTGATACACTTAGCAACGTGTATATTGCCCTAACTACGGTTGCATGCAACTAGGGGTGTCACAATATACCAAGTGTGTATCACGATATGTTGCAATACAGAATGAAGATATTGCGATACGTATCCCGATATATTGGCATGGGAAGGATGTGCTTAATTTTATGATAAGATGATGTCAGAATGTTATCAAACTTAATCACATATTGAATAGATTACATAGATTAAAGATTTTTGTCAAACCAACCATCGATTACAAAATTTGAACCATTTAAAGCCTGCTTTATGCTTATTTGCATATCTGTTAGAATTTGTAGTAATTTGCAAATTTAAAACAAAACACCAAACAGATACATAAAAATATGCTTTTAAAAAATATTGCAGTGCAGCAATATTTCATCACTGTATTGTGGTATACGATACGATATACTCGTGTATTGCGATATACCTGTTTTCCGATATATTGTGACGGCTCTAACTGTAACGCTGTCTTATTGAGCAGGTGTGACGTCGGATGGTGTCAACAGGGATATTGTTTTACCCAGAACCAATGTATGTGCGACCTTCTGCATTTGGAGGCTGGTACATGTACATGTGATACTTTAATTGCCTTTTTTAAATATTTATTAGCCTTTAAGAATTTGTTCTGCTCAAGTGTCCTTCGCTCAACGTCAGTGCAGCTTGACTGGTCGGTCTCACTAATATTTAAATACAATGTTTAAGAAACATCTTTAACAAGAGTACCGCGGGGCGGAACAATATACGCCCGTCGAATGCCATATAGTGTTATATACTTTCTTACATTGAAATAAGATCTGCATCATTCAAAGACTGGTTAGCCGACATGCTATTAAAATGTAGGAGAAAATCTCTGGATAAAAAAATCAAATACTTAAATGAACAAAGGGCAATAACTTTTGCAAAAATTGCTGAACCAAAATTCTTTTCAAGAAAACACAACAACATATCATGATTATTTAGCCTACTAAGTTTCAAAGAAATCTGTCAAAAAATGTAGGAGGAGATCTCCGGACAAAAAATCAAATACTGAAATAAACAAAGGGCAATGACTTTTGGAAAAAATAGTCGAATCAAAATTCTTTTACGGGAGACACAACTTCATATTACGATTATAATATATACCAAGTTTCAAAGAGATCTGTTGAAAAATGTAGCAGGGGATTGTCGGACAAAAATCAAATACTGAAATGAACAAAGGACAATTACTTTTGAAAAAAAAATGTCGAATCAAAATTCTTTTAAGGGGGACACAATTATCATGATTATAATGTATACCGATTAAGTTCAAAGAGATCGGTCGAAAAATGTAGGAGGAGATTGCCAGACAAACACAAGTTTACGCCGGACGGACGTACGGACAACGCCATACCATAATACTCCCGTCAAATTTGATGGGCGTATACAAATACAGGTATTTTTGTCTTCCCTCATTGTGAATGTGTACACACAGTTGTAGCATTTAATTAAAAAAAAATATTAATTTAAATTCGATTCAATTTCGATTGAAAATTTTGCGTAAAATGACATTTGACATAAAACGAGATCGAAACAAACTCTTGGTTTGAAAAAGCGTGGGACCTCGGTCATTTTGATATAACCCTCTGTCCTTAATTATTTTCTAATGATCTAAGGATTTTGGCATTGTCATCGCAATATAACAATGTTTGACTATTCCAGTTTTATAACAATGTTTAATTATTCCTGTAATATAACAATGTTTAATTATTCCAGTAATACAACAATGTTTAACTATTCCAGTTATATATCAATATTGAACTATTCCAGTTATATATCAATATTTAACTACTCCAGTTATATATCAATATTTAATTATTGCAGTTATATATCAATGTTTAACTATTCCAGTTATATATCAATGTTTAACTTTTCCAGAAATATATCAATATTTAACTATTCCAGAAATATAACAATATTAACTATTCCAGTTATATATCAATATTTAAATATTCCAGTTATATAACAATATTTAACTATTCCAGTTATATATCAATATTTAACTATTCCAGTTATATATCAATGTTTAACTATTCCAGTTATATATCAATATTGAGCTATTCCAGTTATATATCAATATTTAATTATTGCAGTTATATATCAATATTTAACTACTCCAGTTATATATCAATATTTAATTATTGCAGTTATATATCAATGTATAACTATTCCAGTTATATATCAATGTTTAACTTTTCCAGAAATATATCAATATTTAACTATTCCAGAAATATAACAATATTAACTATTCCAGTTATATATCAATATTTAACTATTCCAGTTATATATCAATATTTAACTATTCCAGTTATATATCAATATTTAACTATTTCAGTTATATATCAATGTTTAACTATTCCAGAAATATAACAATGTTTAACTATTTTAGTAATTTATCAATGTTGAACTATTCCAGTTATATATCAATATTGAACTATTTCAGTCATATATCAATATTGAACTATTCCAGTTATATATCGATATTGAACTATTCCAGTTATATATCAATGTTTAACTATTCCAGTTATATATCAATGTTTAACTATTCCAGTTTTATATCAATATTGAACTATTCCAGTTATATATCAATATTGAACTATTCCAGTCATATAACAATCATCATACGGTCTCCGTTGGAGGAAACCGGAGAAAAATCTCTTCGCCAGGCAAGTAAATCGATATCTTTTCACGTCCGATCGGGAAAGGGAGACCTGACCGCCTTGATAAAAAGGCGATTGCGTTATTCATAGCAAAACCACCCGATCTGTCGTGTGGTTTTGCTGTCACTATCCTAATTCTTTCGTTTGGGGACTTGACATTAATGTGATTCTGCCTTGATTTGCATAACGGGTGTTGTCGTTATTATTGGCCTTCATTGATATCTTTCCTTTGTTTATTTTATGTCCTTTTTGTTCACAAACACACTAAACGATCCTGTAAATTTTTATTAAAATCCATATAGAAGAACTTGAATTTTAAAGCTTAAAAAGACTGTTTAAATGGTGTGTTTGACCGTTTCCCTGTAATATCTGACTGATCAATAACATAACAAATTGTTAGAACCATGTACCGAACAGTTGTATGAAGTGTCATTGTAATAAAAAGCATTAATTAACTAGTTTACAACATTGTTTTTACATCTGACATAATTTATCGTCACAATACCGGTGTAGCATGGTATTGTGAAGCATGGTGAAATGAACCGCAGTTCGTATTACCATAATGGTGAAATAAACTGCGGTTCATATTACCATTATGGTAATATGAACCGCCCCAGTAGTTTAGTTTAAAGTAAAACAGAAAATAATGTGAAAACCCTTCATTTAACCGTTATGGTAAAGTGAAGCGCCCCTGCCCCACCCTAAATTTCTCTACCCCAGACATAATAATTGTGGTTTTCAGATAGAATACATCAAGTTAAAGTAAACTTAAAGAAAATGAATGGAAAAAAGTTGTCAGAATAGAAATCGTTGGAACCCTTCATTTCACCATGGCCTTTATATTACCATACTACACCGGCACTATAATGTTATAAGGTTTTTAAAAAAAGTGTCAAAAATGAAATTCAAATAGGATTATATGATTATATGCAAATGAGGAAGTAGATGGTTAAGAGTTTATTTTTTCAGCAAAATTTGTGGTTGTTCAAACTATACAAAAATATGTCATCTCTTACAACATATACAAAGATATTTAATGATCCCCATTCCACTGCCATATCCTGTTAAATGCTTTAAAAACTATGGAATGACTATAGCTTTGATGAATCATTTCTAAAAATAACCCACCCATAAATTGCCGATTTGAAATGAAAAAATAATAATGAAAATGTTATAAACAAAAAATAATGAACAACAGAATTCTGTGTGTATTAAAATCAGCACGGCTATTCTATGATTCGAACTATGGGCCTCAGGTTACTATACTGTCGCTCTGAGCTACCTGATCAAAGGAAGTACCCCTGCCAAGTCGAACTAGTTATTTTCAAAACGAAATTTAGGGCAGATTACATTTTATTCGAAAAAGCATTCTGTAGTGTTTTGCCTGCAGCTTGGCAGGGATCCTTAAGCTGACATTCTGCTAAATGTACAGAACAATCCAAAATTCGGCAAATTGAAGCATGTTAGTTCAGTAAATATCCCGAGAACGAGGAGGACATGAACCCTATGACTGTACCACTAATTGTCGGACTATATGCAGTTATATACACTGTGTCTGCGATATCCAACTTCACCATGACAGTTGAATATTTACTGTCCATATGATCGGTTGTACCAGAAGCGAACTGAAATCCAAGTATATTTCCATTAACATGAATAACCGTGGTCAGTGAATGTCGAGCGTTTATCTCTATTGACCATGTGAACACGTAAACACCGGCCACACTGCATTGGAAATAGCCAGTGGCCGGATTGTAGTCATCTCCCAAATTCAGACTTGCTTCACTGAACAAAAGAGACCTTCCTTCGGAGATTTCGGTGATATCCTGCAGAGGTCGGGCTGTAAATGCGACCTTCGTATTTGTCCCTGTGAGGAAATAAAATTAAGAGGAAGTGAACTATTTTGGTACTTTAATCCATGTTTGAACTTTGATATGCTTCGACTATTGAAACAACAGTTTTTTTATTAATATAAAATGCGTAGCATTAAATAATATTATTCTTACATATAGCCTTCCGACAAATATTAATTTATTCCATAAGAAACAATAATATTTGTAGTAATGTGTTATCATATATCTCATTTACTGTCCTGACGTATGTTACGTCCTATTAGCTATGATCATTGAAGGGAAACCGGAGTACCCTGAAACAAACCGCCGACATGCGGGTTGGTATTTCAGTGTGATGACACTATAAAGTCGGGATCAGGCAAGTACACCAATATACCCCGTCTCCAGCACAAATAGACGCATGCATGCTTACACAATACAAATTGAGGCACGTCTTTAAATGACCTTAGCTGTTAGTAGAACGTAAAAGAAAATAAAACAAACGAACATTGCCACCTCGCTGGGCAGACTAACCCATTAACTTTACACTATTTTTTCCTTATCTTTGGAACCATCGCAAACGAATTAGAATATGTTTCAATATTCCAGAACGAATAAAAAACAACAACATTTTATTCAACTTACCAGCCCCTATTTCACCCGGTTCACCTTTGTTGCCTGTCAGTCCTTTTTCTCCCATTTCACCTTTTTGGCCTGCAATCCCTTTAGAACCAGCGTTCCCTTGATGACAAAAAGATATTAGATTAAAACATTTTGTAATCAAAATACTCTCAAACTCCGATTTCATAACCAAACAAAGTGTTTTACAGGATTTAAGATATTGCCTACCTTGCTTTCCCTTCGGCCCTCCCCATCCCATAGGTCCAATATCCCCTTTAAGTCCTGTAGGACCCGTTGTTCCTTTATCCCCTTTTGGTCCTGTAGGTCCTGCTGTTCCCTCAGCTCCTTTTGGTCCCTCTCTTCCTGAATTTCCCTTCGCACCCTTGGCTCCAGTTGTTACTGAACAGTTGTATATACATATGTTTAGTACAAGTACGTTGGGTTACCATCGCGCACATGTGCAATCAGCGTGATATCAAACAGGATGTTATTGACGATACAAAAAGCAAGTTGCCGATTGCAGACCCGAACCAATGTAAAACGATTTTTTAAAGTAATATAAATTTAAAACCTGGTTTCGCAATTGTTGTACAACAAATAAATTTTATATATATATTGAAAGCTTCAGCTTGTTTCATAACTCATTAGTGACCGATGGTGTTACTACTTGAAATGCTTATTGAAAGGCACATACCGGTTATATATAGTAATATATAGAATAAGCATATACTTTACACAAATAAAACGTATTAAATCAAAATGAATACAATAATCTTAGTCGCAAAAATGATCTCAACAATGTTAATACTTTGTGCGATTTGAATTACTTCGTTTTAAATTATGATTTTCCCAGTGCCGCGTGGTTGGATTATAAATATAAACCTTTTAGATTTTCCAACATTTATGAAACAATCTATTGCAATTTAAGAAATTGCTCTGGTTGGCCCGGATGTTAGCGGGGAAGGGGTTGGTTAGTGTAAGGAAACCGGGGTATCCGGAGAAAAACCCACTTTGCCAGCAAGTGAATCGATATCTTTTCACGTCCGATTGGGGAAAGGAGCCCTGGCCGCCTTGGTATAAAGTGAGTACGTTATTCACTGCAAAACCACCTGATCTGTCGGGTGGTTTTGCTGTCACTATCCTAATTCTTTCATTCGATGACTTGACGTTAATGTTATTCTGCCTTGATTTACATAACGGGTGTTGTCGTTATTATTGGCCTTCATTGATATCTGTCCTTTGTTTATTTTATGTCCTTGTTGTTTTTTCCAAAATTTGCCCGTGAAAAACATGAATTGACCAGTGAACAGATAAACCTTTCTTTCCCGATAAAAAAAAACAATCGGGAACGACAGCCTACACGCGCTATGACGTCACGACGCACTTTTGCATACGATGGTCACGAAACATTGACCAAGAGACAGCCACACTCTTACACTCGGGTTAAAATTTCCCTGTCCACGGACCATTCCCATGTAAGATTATATTAATCTATTTCTAGTTCAAAATATTGTACGTTCACAAAACATCGGTATTTTCCAGTTTTTCCCCCATGTGATCAAACACTCATTGTTCGTGTCCATCCTTAAAGCCCATGGCAGCTAATAACATATCTACTTCAGTGTTGCTCCGTCGTATGATACGGTGCGTTACGTTTTCATAATACACATCAATATATACTTTGATAATCTCCTCGCAATGCCATTTGCCAGATCTTATAAATGTAGCTAGCTCTAAACAACTGCTGTAGTTTTCTTGGCAGTATTTCGTTATGATCTATGGAAACATCGCAAGCAAATTATAATTTTTCTTCGGTTTTAAAATCCTGGACGAATGTAAAAAAATAGATAACTATTGTGTTAACTTACCAGCCCCCATTTGACCCGGTTCACCTTTGTTGCCTGTCAGTCCTTTTCCTCCAATTTCACCCTTTGGGCCTGCAATCCCTTTAGAACCAGCGTTCCATTGATGACAAAGAGAAGTTAGATTAAAAAATCTTTAGTAATCAATGCACTCTTAAATTCCGATTTCATAACCTAAACAAGATTTACAATATTACTTACCTTGACCTCCCTTCGGACCTTCCAATCCCGTAGGCCCAGCTGGTCCAATATCCCCTTTAAGTCCTGTAAGCCCCCGAGTTCCTTCATCCCCTTTTGGTCCCTTGATTCCGGAGTCTCCCTTTTCACCTTTTGGTCCAGTTGTTGCTATACAGTAGATAACGGGTATGTTGGGTTATATTACCTCTCTGAATTGCTTTTGCATATGCAATCCATGAGTGACACCTACCTATTTGAAATATGTATTTGATTAACAGATATCATACCAGATATCTGCCTTTGATTTTTTTAAATTATTTCTTGCAGATGCAAGACAGGTTATATTACCTGTCTCAAAGGCATACTTACAGTATCGAAAGTCCTTATTTTTTTCCCCAAAAGTATTTAATTAACATATAGCATACCAGTTATATGGTTTTTATTTTATTTTTTAATTATTTCTTGTAGTTACAGATGCAAATAATGGGCAAGAGCCAATCAATAAAATACTTGATATTTACTTGTAGTGTACAATACAGCATAGACACAACACTCCGTAATATACGCTCACATCTGTGCGCAATAATAAAATATTACCACTGTTTGAATAAAAAAAGAATAGCAATAAAAACAATCCATCTCCACTATGTCTCATAGTGTCATCAGAAATCTACTTTTTTCGGAATTATTGTTTTGATATACTGGAACATCAAATCCAAGACTTTGATTATCAAGAAGAGGACAATGTAATAAATGTTTTTTTTTTCATTTCATTTTTCGTTCTTATTTTCGAATTAATTTTTTATGGTGTCAATATTACAGAACTAATTACTTGCTATGGCCATTTTTAATGGAAAACGACCTAGCTCACCATAAACAAAGTTATTTTAAGCCTACAACACCAAATAACTTTGTTTATGGTGAGCTAGGTCGTTTCCCATTAAACATAAAAAGATATTGCAGAATAATAACATATTGGGTGAGGATAGTATGCGATTCAACAAACGATCTTGTTAGATCAGTATATAATATCTTGTATCAGGACACCAAACAGTTTTCCAAACAAAATTGGGCTAGTGCGGTAAAAGAACTTCTTTTCATTAATGGTTTTGGATATGTTTGGTAGGTAGTATAGAAACATTTATGCATTTATTTAAAATTAGAATTTAAGACATTTTTGTTCGAAATTGGCAGAGGAACAGATTTTATGTTAATCTTTCTAATAATTTCTAATATAAACCTTGTCTACATAAAAAAGTTTCGTATAGTCTTAACAAAATTTAGAGTCTCTTCTCATCGTTTGAGTGTTGAGGTAGGCCGTTGGCACAGATCGAATCCTATTCTTTATGAGAATCGTACATGTAGTTGTTGTGGGGTTTTAGAGGACGAGTATCATTTCCTTATGGAGTGGACCTTATATTCTAACACAAGACACATGCATATCAAGAGAAGGTATTTTCATCACCCAAATAGACCAAAGTTACTGGAACTAATATCGTCTACGAGCAAAAGTACATTGAAAAGTATTGCCGCTTTCATTTTTAAAGCGAATGAGATACGGAACAATAACCTTTTTAATCAAGAGTAACGTCCGCCCTGATGTCGTGAAACCTGCATTAAAGTATGGAAAGTCACTGTTTTACTTTATTATATATTTATGTAATTTAATGCATTGTACCACTACATATATCCTTGTATTTATGGCACAAAGACATTTGTGACTATTGCTGAACAAAGATTATCATGTATACTCGTTAATACATATACATAAAGATCAATCTGAAATTCGATCAAGCGATGTATCATAAATTGCATTAATTTTTATTTCTAAAAATATTTTAAATTGTAAGTTAAAAATACGTTAGCAAGTTGCTACATTACTATCCTTAGGGATATCCCGACGCAAAGATTAAAATATCCAAGTAAGTATGTTATAGTATTATATCTAGAGATGTCCAGAGGCAAAAGTAGAGATGTATCAGTTATTTTGTTTATAATATTACCTCTAGAGATGTTCCGAGGCAAATGAAATGAAGGAATGTACGCTGAAAACAAAAATAGAAAAAAATCATTAACATAATTAATATTTTTTTGGCATACATCTGTAATAATAATAATAAAATCATGAACAGCAAATTAACGGGAAAAATACGTGTTGCTGTTACTATTTTCTCTTTTTATTGTACTTCATAGGATTACATGCATAGATATAGAGAGCTTGGTATATTCCTTCAGTAACATGGCTGGCATTGCTTATATAAAACAATTTTATCTATTGCTTTTTTTTCGTAATAAAATACCTATACGACTGTTTTTGTAAAAAGAACACTGCCGGTACATACATGTACATACGATAAACAATGTTTAAAGTTTAAACGGCACTTATAAAGTTATATTGCATAAAACAGCCATTTTGTGCACCAGTTCTTGAATCCGCCCTCAAACACAAAGCTTTTATTATTGACCAAGGGAAAATTAAATATAGATATCTTGCCTGATCTTTTGTGAAGTATGTAACTTTTCTCATCACCACCTTTCCGTTCTGAGTGTTTTTTGTTTTCATCCAATCTTATGAGAGGAAACGTGTCCGACGGGTTCCGATTGCTCCTTGGAATAACCAAGAGTAAACAAGTGTTGACAATAATACCAAATATAAAGAAAACAGAGAGGATGCGAAAGGGGAAAAAATGTCATTCAAACTGAAACCCAAAAAAGGAAACATTTACAATGAGGCAAATGAATAAGACTAGAAAAGATGAATGTCTTTACCTGCCGCGTAAATTGATGTCAACTCCAGGTTATGTCATGACATCTAAACAAGGAGCAAGGTAGTGACCTCTGTCCCCCCTCCCTGATGATTCCGTTGTGATTCGAAGGTCGATGTTTTTGACTAGGCTCATCAATGTGCTATATGGTTTATGTTGTTTTGTCACCACCCGAGCTCTCGAAGTGAGGACGTGACATTACTGGTCTTATACTTTGTCAAGTGTTACAATGAAAAAAAATATTGGTTCAAATTTTGCCCTCATTTTATGGCATTTGAGTTCGAATAATGGTTGTATTGACACTAATGTATCGTTTTCATGTTTATGTTGTTCCTTACTATCCAAACATTTGAATCGTTGCTCTTATTTCTTGTAACGAAAGCTCCTATACTATGACAATAAGCCCAATGGGCTTGCATCGATCACCTGGTATTAATCCCACAATTGATACCTTAAAGTGGACTAAATTTACGCTACAAGCACAATATAAGTGTCTTGGCTCAGTCATTCAAAAGTTCCTGTTCAAATATTTAAACACATTTGACCCCTGTGATCTTGACAGTCGACACAGGGCATACAGCTGAACAAACTTGAATGCTCTTTTACCCATATTGCTAAATGCCAAATATCACCACTCTATACCATTTGGTTATTGAAAAGATGACTATATTATAGATTTAAAGACAATTCACAAGATGTGACCTTGAAAGTGTCAAGGTCATTCAGATGCAAAAACTTGATAGCTTTTTATTTGAGCGTGCTAGTAGTCACATATCACCAACCTATGTATTTTGGTTATTCAGAGGAAGTCATTTAAAGTTTTAAACATATTGAACACTGTGACCTTGATTCTTTTTCAAACATTTCATCTCCGCATGGTACTCGCCAAATATTCTCATAATAAACATTTTTTTTTATTTGGAAGTTTAAGTTTTTGACATATTTGACCCCTGTGACCTTGGATATTGATGAATGTCATTTAAACGAACTTGGCAGCCAATCATGCCAGTATGCTTCTGGCCAAATATTCTAACCATGGTCCTTTTGGTTATTCAGGTGTCGTTTAAACGTTTTATAAGATGATTAACCCATATGACCTTGAATCTGAGAGAAGGTCATTTATTTGATCAATCTGTGTAGCGCTTTGTCCCACAATGCTCCTGGCCAAATAGCATCACCCTAGGTATTTTGGTAATTCATAATTCATATTTAACCCCTGTGACATTGAATCTGTGTGAAGGTTATTGATTTCAACAAACCTGGAAGCCTTTCATGCCAGCATGCTCAGACCATATATCACCCTGGACCTTTTCGTTATTTAAAAGTCATTTAAAACATTTCAACCCCTGTGACCTTGAATGTGAGTATTGGTCATTCATTTAAACTAACCTGGAAGCCTTGTATATGCTTAATAACATTCCTTTGGGCATTTTTGTTATTCAGAAGAAGACTTTTTTAAAGACAATTTACCCCCTTTACCTTGAATATGAGTGAAGGTCATTCACTTGAACAAACATTGTAGCCCTTCACTTGCCCTCCGGGGCAAGTGAACTAAAAACGAATACGTTCCTTAATTTTGGTATATGGTATGCAAGTGTAAAGAGTGGATAAATCAAATGTTCTATGCTTTAATCATCTTCACGAAAACGTATCCTTAACACACTTACATGACAAACATTCTGAAATTGCTACAAACAGTGAATCTCTTTTCGTAGGAATATTACCACTGTTTCCTACTATACATACATACAATTGTAGGTGAAGCCGATATTTGCCTCACTGTTTATGACCCTTACGGGTATTATAGTACTTAAGGTGAAATTTTCCACTCATTTCAACCTATTTTACCATAATATCCCAAGTTCCTCATTTTTCCTTAGTTTCATCCTATTTTATGTAGATCTGATATTCAACCTATATAACTTAGCTCCGCATTTCATCCTACTTTAGGTATGTGTGATATTCAATTTATGTACGAAGTTTCCTTCCTCATTTGATCCTACTTGAGGTTAATCTGATATTCAAATTATGTACCTCATTTCCTCCTCATTTAATCCTACTTAAGGTTGATCTGATAGTCATATGATAGACTTAGGTTCCTCACACATTTTATCATCCCACTTGAGGTAGGTCATATATTTACCTTATTATCCTTAGTTCACTATGCATGTCATCATACTGCTTGCGAATTTTATCCAATTCAAAGTTCAAGTTGAAGACAGATCTCTTCAAAGCCGACACTTCAGATAAAAGCGTATCATACTTATACTCCTGTTGACCGTTTATAGCCATTGGCACGGCAAATACCAATACCAAAACAACACTATGCGCCATCTTGAGTTAGTGTCAATTCTGACCGGAAATGATAAGCGTCAACAAAATACTGTTATCACTGTACAAGCTTTATGATACGTTCATGTTATACATGTAAATAACTAAAAGCCTGATTAGATAATGTGATTCACATTATGATTCAAAGTAATGTTGTTGCTGTTTTCTTTAACGGCTGTTTGTGTTTAAGACGTTCGGCATAAAAAATATCTATGTAATAACTTAATTTTTTCTTAAGCTGACAAGACGTAAAATGACCCCACTGAAGATAACATGTATGAACCTAATAATTTCCCTATCTCGTTTTTGTTCATATATTTATAAGGAGCATTCAGTGCTACCACTCCCTCATATTTGATATGACTCGTGTTAAACAAAAGGTTCACAACTTTTTATATTTTAACAGATATGGCACCGCCTACTCCTCTAAGACATGTTTAATTGGTACATACACCAGTAACGGTGTTCAGGTTAAAACGTAAAAACAACGACTATTGTGACACGCCGATTTGAACTTGTTTTTTTTTTTAAATATTTGCTACAAAATTAAAAAGTCAACTCGAGTGCTTCAAAATGTGATCTTTAGCCAGAAATTCAAAAATCTTTGATTGAGGCAAAGAGTTTTCTTGCTTTACCACAATCAATAAAAAGAGCACCTGTACTTATATCTCGATCATGCATGGAAGAAACTTTTGTTCGGTCAGGAAACCTTTACACGAGGGCGTAATTAAAGATTGGATACAAAACAACAATATTTTTGCTGTTGTCAATTAAACAAGGAGAATTTTGTAAGCAAAAAAAACATGAAGAAAATATCGAAGTGTACCCAAAACCAGAAATTGCGAATTGTGACAACAAAAACATGCATGCATAAGTTTAATAAATTGCTTTTATTAGAATTGCTTCTGGTATACATGTATTGTCGTGACAACATTGATATGTACTTTTGGGCCGAGTGCTTACAAAAATTACCGAAATTTCCAAATCACCAACAGGCCGCAAGATAATCTTGGCGATTTTCCGATCGTGCACTTTCTTTTTCTTGATGGTAACATCCCACACTGGTTATTACCATGTAAAAAATTTTTTCATTTCAGTAAATTTTATTGAAAAATCAAAAGGATTGGACAACAGGCTATGCCTATATAAGTCCTCTCCTAGCCAGAATTACAAACAAATATAAACTATACATAGAAAGAAATAGAAAGAAATGGTACATTAAATAGTTACAGAAATAGTGATGCAAGGGGAGTAACTCCCATAGAAGTTTTAGTTAAATAAATATATATATGCCTCATTTATTTAGACCAAGGATCCCCCAGTGTTGGGCAGCAAGAGATCCATAAGCTACTAGGGATTCTGACCATACAAAGTCCTTAGCCATACACTGGCTTTTGTCATTCACCCCAGCAGACCTTGGATCCTCGCAATGCAACACTAGGAGATTTTTGATAATACAATGTACATATTTTGTATATAGTTAATTATTTTCAGCAGAAGTCAATATTTTTTCATCATCATCCAACCACCTACATTCATCAATTTATTTTATCTTTTTTATAGAAAGGCTTGTAAGCAAGATGAATTTTATTATTCACAGTACAGAAACAACTAATGGTGGTTAAGGAATTTCTTTGTATCAGTGATAAAGACTGATACCTTTTCAAGTATAGAAGCATTTATATCATCACTACATTGTGAACAACCATTGAGAAAGACATTTATATTATTATGCATATGATTATCATTCGGTAAAGAGTTCATCAGAACATGTCTTTGGTTATTAAAATTTTGACATTCAAAAAAGTAATGGTAGGGGGTTTCTTGATCCTGTCTGCAATCACAAGTAGGTGATCCAGACAAGTGATCATTATAAAGGTCAAAGTTCAAATTACTGGCCTTATTTCGTAGTTGGCATAAAATAATATTAATTTTTCTGCATCCTGAATATTTAAATATGAGGGTTACATCATTATGGGGTTTGTTAAGGTTTTTTAGGTGTTTTTTAAACTGAGATAGGGATTGGGAGTTAGTAATAGTAGAGTCCAGCTGATTATATTTGTTGAGAGTGGCAGGAAAGTAACTGTTAAAATAATTATCTGTTCGACAGAGAGGCGGATTAAAAATTCTATTTCCCCTTAACTCATATCTTGTACTTGTAATATCATTAATAAATGGATCTATAATATTTAATAAGTAAGATGGGGAGTCATTATGCAGAATTCTATACATAAAAATAATTTTTGTTTATTTCTTCTTTCAGCTAATGTTTCCCATTCTAATTCTTCGTAAAGTTTCACATGAGATGTTCATCGGCGTAATCCTGTAATTATCCTGGCTGCATCTAATTGGACTGACTCGGGAAGTGTTTTTTTTCCTGTTCTGTACAATTGTACCATACTACACTTGCATATTCTAAGATTGGCTTAATATAAGAGGTATACATTATAATAAGTGATTTTTTATCAACAGTATGTTTTAGACTTCTAAGAATGTCTATTCTTTTATATGCCTTATCATAGGTATTTTGTATGTGTTCAGCCCATTTACCATCTTCAGTGAAAGTAAGACCAAGATGAGTGTGAAATCTATTGTTAGTTAGTGGTTCATTCAAGAAAGAAATAGGTGGGTGATTTGGTTCTTTTTTCCTAGTAAAAATAACAGATTCAGTTTTTGCAGCATTAAATTTTAAGTCCCACTTTTTTGCCCATGTACTTATATTCTGAAGATCATTTGTTAGACTTTCTGCTGCTTGTATTGGATTATTATCAATAATTATGTATAAGGAAGTATCATTAGCAAATAATTTAATATTGTTATTAACTTGGTCTGTTATATCATTAATGTACAGTAGGAATAAAAAAGGCCCAAGAATTGATCCCTGAGGAACTCAAGCATTAACATTAGTAAAATTTGAAAAGTGGCCCTCTGTAAACACTCTCTGTTTTCTTTCAAATAAATAGTCTTTGAACCAAGATAACAATTTTCCTTTTATTCCAATTGACTCCAGTTTAAATATATAAGACCATCATGCCATACTCTATCGAAAGCTTTGATCACATCACAAAATACAAATCGCACTTCTTTACCCCCATCTAAATTACTTACTATTATGTGATATATAGATAAAAGTTGATTTACAGTCGAGTCACCAGGTAAGAATCCAGATTGATGTTTGAATATGATTTCATTATCAGTAAGATAGTTATATAAATTTTTAAATATATTTTTTTCAATAATTTTACTAAAGCATGATGTGATTGATATTGGTCTATAGTTTGTAACTTCATTCTGTGACCCTTTACCATTATAAATAGCATTAACATTTGCCAATTTCCAGGATGTTGGTATTTTGCCAGTTTCTATGGTTTTATTAAATAGCAATTGTAGCGGTAATGAAATGGAGGAACGAAGCTGCTTAATAATTTTTGGGATCATCTTATCTGGACCAGGCGGTTTTTTATCATTAAGGATTTGTAATTGGTCTAAAACATCTTGCTCAGAAATAAAGATATTATCTAGTTTAGAAGGAAAGTTATTAACCAAGGGAGGTAATTGTTCAAGATCAGGGGAGAAGATGCTATAGATGAATAGTAGTTATTTAGAGTCACAGCTTTATCAGTTGGGTGTTGAATGCTCATTCCTTCATCATATATTGGTGGTATACTTTTCAGTTTATTATTAAAGTTTAAAACAGATTTGGCAACTTTCCACCACTTACTAGGTGGTACAGATTTATCACATAAGGATTTTTGGAGATTTTCAAGATAAGACTTCTTGACATTTCTTATCATATCAATAGCTTCATTTCTAATTAGTCTAAAGGTTTCCCAACAAGTCTGACTATTAATATTTTTTGCTTTTTTGTGAATTCTATTTTTCTGTCTTAATATCAGCCTTATTTTATTGGTCATCCACGGTTTGTCATCTGGCCGGATAGTTATCAATTTTGAAGGTATACATTTAGCAACTTGATCAGAAATAGCTTAAGTAGTATGTTATTAAATTCTTTAGTGTTGTTTGTTTGTGAGATTGCTAGCCAGTCTATTTCATTCAAAGACATATTCATTTTCCCAAAATCTGCATTTTCATACATCAGAATTTTTTTCTTGTATGATCTATGTTTAAAAACTGAATAAGAAATAATAAAACTAATAGGCGAATGGTCACTACACAACTTTGGACTAACTAATGTACTTTGAATCAAACGACTGTTGTTTGTTAACAATACATCTAGTGATGTAGAGCTATTTGTAGTTATACCGTGTATATGTCGATGGACGGTAGATAAACGTTACTATATATGGTTTCTACAGATACAAGTTGACGATGAGTATGAGAAGGGTTTCTCTGCCATCCAGATCTTATTAGGTAATACATTATATCCTGTTAGATATGAATTAGCCTTCAACCACTGGGTACTAGCAAGGTACTTGTCAGTAAAATTGCTCTTCCGGATTTATTATTTGAAAGCGAGGAATGGGATACGAGGAAAAACGAATTGAATGAAAAAGAACATACGAAGCTTTTTAAGATACATCTAAAACACTTTACAAAGTTTTACAAACAACCGCGCACGTTCGTAAAGTCGTAAAGCAAGAGATGTCCGTTTGATTATTTCGTGTTTTATATTTCAAACTTTTTGCTATAAACCAGCAGAATCCATTAAAACGGATATAAAGGTTATGCGACAATGTGGAAATGATGCCAAGAAATTCTAAGCATTTAGATATAATTATGTATGGGGGTCATTATTTGGGGGCAAGATTGTTTGGTTTAATTTAGGTAAATGTCCTATTAAAGCTAAGGACATTTAAGGACGTGCCTCCATGTGTGTTGTGTATGCGTGTATATGTGCGAGAGGCAGGAAAAGTTTATGTAGATTCCTCCTTGTGAAAGCGTGTATCTTTTGTCGACTTTTTATTGCCTTCTGACTGAAATACTATGCTGAAGGCACCCAGTACAGCATTCCGCCCGGTTACGTTATACTGACAATGGGAGAA